CAATCCTTTGTTTCCAAAATGCGTTTATCATAATTCATACTGCGCGACGAAGCCAGCACACAGTGGTTCAAAATTGGAATATAATGGTCATAATCCACCGGAGCCTTAATTTTTCAACCATTTTTTACTAAAAAGCAAAAAAAAAATTATTGTGGTGAACATTTTTTATAACATTTAAAATTTTTTTTGTGTATTTTTTTGTTTTGGGTGAACCATGATAAAAACACTAGAAGGTAAAATCATTATCTCAATTCGTCGGCCATGATTTTTTTCTGACGTTTTCAAACATTTTAAAATATATAAAATTGAAAAAAAAAAAATTAAATTGTTCACGATTGTTGTGGTTTGAGATTAAAAATGAGAATGTGTGTGTGAGCTTGAGTTCGAGTTTTAAAATTATATTGCTGGCAAGCGTCAGCCTGCCTCTCAATGATTTTACGATTTTACCATACGATTGGTTTCAACTAGTTTCTGTTATGTAACATTTATTAACTGGAACAGGAGAATACATTTTCTTCAAAACTGCTACAAAACTGCTAATCAAATAAAAATTCAGAAATCAGGCTCAACTAGTCTATTGCAAATATAGTAAGCTTTCATAAAAAAAAATTAAATTAATCAAATGAAGTGAAAAATTAAGGCTCCGGGGAATTACGAACACTAAATGCCAGTTTTGAATCAATGTGCAGTAGGAGGTTTATTGTTCTCTTTCAGTGGAACTGGAAACTCAGCGTGCAAGACGATCCTGGGCACAACTTTCCCTGTGCTTTATAGATTGTACAAAGATAACTGATTAAATAGAAACCCATAAGTGGGGTGCGAAACAAACTGGCGAAGGTTTTCATTATATTTTATAAGGGACATTTTTATTTTTTCATATTCCGCGTTTAAAAATTTACCTCTGACAAATGCAGAGCCGATTTAAAGGACAGTTTAAGAAATAAAGGACAAAAGGCGTCCTTTATTTTGAAAAAAATTATAAATGACAGGTGGTTAAAATAAAGGACTGTTCTTTAAAATAAATTTCATTAAGATCGGTTGAGTAGTTAAGGCGTGAAAGCGTAATAAAATAACCATTCGCATTTATATCAGTAAGGAATATCCAGTACTGACCACTAAAATAATTTTTAGAGGTGATCATTTTATACATACCCAAATACATAAACACAAAATATTACACCAGGGCTTATGAAATTTTTTGCCTTCGATTGGTTGTGCTCAACGAAAAACCAATATTAAGAAAAAAGTTACGCACTGATCACGCGTTTTCTCAAGAAGATTTTTCTGCAATGATAAGTAACACATTGTCCTGTAACCTAGGATTCTTCTTCTGAAGAAATTAAGAAGTATACTTTATACCCATAAATGTAAAATAACGACTACGACAACGACTACGACAAGAAAATTCACGATTTTTATAAAATACGCGAAATTCAGTTACAGTTGTAAGCAGTATTTTTTTTCGCATTTGGTAACTGGTACATTTGTTTAATACCGGTCATTTTTTTCCTGCAGACCTACAAATAAATGTCTGAAAACCCCGCTTTAGGTCTGACCGCTCAAGAAGTTATACCTCAATAAAAAGTAGATATTGTGCGAGTTGCACTAGAAATTTCCTGATTTTCTCGCAACTGGGCAATGGGCATCATTGCTTTCACCGCTGTGGCAAGGTAGGCTTGTTCCTATGGCCGCAGTGGTGCAAGCAGGCGGGGCCTAGCCAAGGCCGAGGTATAAACTCCCCTGCCTCGTCAAGGTCTAGTGGTAGGCCGTACGGGCTCGCCCAAGGGGGGCTGGGGTGGGCATACTTAGGATATTTCTAGGGGGTACCTGGCGGTAGGTATAAAACGCTCCCTTAATCCAGGGTGTCATGCGTCACCGTGCCCATTGGATGCATTGCAGTCAGGGGGCTTTCCGACTGTATTCTAACGGCGCCTCCCGGATACCTGTCCACCCCCGGGAGTAACGGTGGACTTACCTCAGCACGGGGCTCTGATGAGGCGGACCGTTTTTACCCCTTACCCATATATTCGGTCGCCGAACGGTTACGGCTCAGTAGGCGACCAACGAACCAGTTGTAATGAATTCGAAAAATGTAGCTCCGGATCCCTGCACAGGTAAAAATGCCGCCAACGGACACGGCGTTAAAGTCTGTCTAAAAACGACATCTTCGGCAGCCGCTGGATCGATCCCGAAGGAGCTTAAACGGCTGACTAAACAGAATGTTGCGCCCGGCGTCAGTAGCAACAAACCCCTGGTGGGTAGTGGCCAACTGGCGTCTGGGCTTCAAGCGGAGCCTGCACGGCCAATTGACCTCTCGTATCAGTCGTCCACACCTCAGGTAGCTGCGAGTACACACCTTGAGGGTAGCTCCAAAGCGGCACCGGGTGAAAGTGATGCTGGCACGGACCGCACCACCGACCGCAAGCCCCTTGAGGGTAAGACGTCGGATGAACGCAAAGGCGTCTCAGGTCCCAGTGGTTCGAGGACCAAAAAAGTAGTCCGGCCAGCAGTCAGGGCGAAGCGGGACAGAAGAGCCGCTTCTAGACCGCTCAGGAAGCTCGGCAATGACCCGGTTCCCGAGAGTATGAGGGAAGTGGTTGAGAGGGCGAGGGCCATTCTCTCCGAAAGTCGTGAGTCACCTCAGGAAGGAAATGCCGCTAACAAACCTGCACCCACTCACTCTCGTCCTAGGAAGCTGGCCAGTAAAAGGCAGCGGTCAGCAGACAGCATGGATGCTGCTCCTAAGAGGCCCAAAACCTCTAACGCCAACAGCCCTCTTAACCCTCCAAGGGCTCTGAGGGCTTTCAACGATGTGGCCAAGGACCACTTGAACCTGGCAGTTATGGATAGGGGGCACCCGGAAGAAAACCTCACGGCCAACAACTGGAGGTCCGTCCTGATGGGTCTCTGCCGGGTGTGCAAGGAGATTATCCGGAAAAACCCTGGCCCTGCGCCAACTGTCCGCAATGCTGGTCTCTACCAAGGCCGCATCAAATTAGTTTCTGCGCTGATGAACGGTCGGCGCGACTTTATAAGGAAGTAATTTCTTCTCTTGGGGAGCTGTGGCCCAGCGTTGACTTTTTGGTAGTGCACAGGGACGAAATCCCTTGTAAGCCGCGAGCCAGAGCGTGGGTCGCAAAGAAATCCTCGCGTCCTGAGGAGATTCTGGATATCATCCAGATCTCAAAGGATGCACTACCAGCCCTTGATTGGAAAGTAGTGAAGGTCAGCGAGGTTAGGGAACAGCAACGTTACACCACCTTGGTGATAAACTATGAGTCTCTCCCAATCCTTGCTGACTGTAAGGGAGTAACTAGCTACGGCTTTTACTCCATTACCCTCAAAACCCGAAAAGGGAATNTAATTAGCTACGGCTTTTACTCCATTACCCTCAAAACCCAAAAAGGGAATGAGGGTAAAATGATAGAGCCGGGGAACACCGAGGGTGAACCCGAGGCTGGCAATCTTCCGCCTAAAGGCGGCCCTATATCTGGAGCAGAAAACGCCTTGAGCGGTCCTGCTTCTAACCAAGAGGTCCAGGAGGTTCTCGAGGCCACTTGCCCGGTGGTGAGGTCAGACTCGGCAGCGAAAACAGATAGCGATACGCAACCTGTTTCTGGTGACGGATCGGTACCTAACCANCTTGAGCGGTCCTGCTTCTAACCAAGAGGTCCAGGAGGTTCTCGAGGCCACTTGCCCGGTGGTGAGGTCAGACTCGGCAGCGGAAACAGATAGCGATACGCAATCTGTTTCTGGTGACGGATCGGTACTTAACCGGTGGACGAGGGAGTTCGGGAACCTGCTTCTGACGTCGGATTCAGAGGACGCCGATGATACCATCGTTGAGGCGTTCGATAGAACCCCGCCAGAAGTGATGGACGGTGACGAAATTTTATAAGTTGTGGATGAATGTTCTACAAATAAACCTTTATCACTCTAAAGTAGCTTCTGCAGCTCTGCTCCTGCACCT